TGGAACAAGGGTGTTAAATTAAAATAAAAGAGGAAGTTATGAAGGTATGAGGGGCAAATAGGCTGAATGGAATTGGAAAAAAAATACTTTAAAAGAGATGTATGATGGTACATAGACAATGCATAATCTTTAAAGAATTAGTACATAGTTTACAGGTTTTCCTTCAGGCTCAAAAAAAAACCCAAAATGCCAATCAAACTTAGTTAACAAGGAAGTTAAGGATTTTATAAGACTAAAAGATAAATAAAACACAACAACATTGCCAGAAATAGTGTTAAAACCGAAGATTGCGAAGAATCAGGAAAGATCAAAGCAGGACCAAGAAAATAATAAAGAAAAAGAATAGAATATGAATGCAAACTAACATAAAATACCACAATGTATTGCCAAAGCTTCTGTAAGTACATAAACAGGAAACAGTGGACTGAGACAAATGTGCATCCATTACAATAAGATAGGAGAATTTATAACGGGGAATAGAGAAGCACATTGAGTACTTTGTGTCTGTTTTCACTGAGGAAAAACCAAGTAATCGCCAGGAATTAGAGATCCATGTAATTAGGGAGAATAGGCAACTGTGGGTTATTAGTATTAGAATGAAGGTTGTTTTGGAGAAATTAGCGGGACTGAAGGTTGATAAATCCCAAAGGAACTGATATTCCAAAGCCCAGAATGTTCAAAGAGGTGGCTTTGGAGATGATTGATATATTTATGATCATTTTCAATAATTCTATATATTCTAAAATTATTTCTGCATATTGGAAGGTAATAAATGTCATTCCACCATTTAAAAAAGGGCAGGAGAAGAAAACATCAGGAACCCCAAATCTATTAGCCTGACATCAGTAAGAAGTAAAATGCTTGAATCTATTATAATGATATGCTAAATGGACACTTGGACAATAATAATCTGATTGGACCTAGTCAGCATGGATTAATGAAAGCAAAATTGTATTCGACAAACCTGTTGTGAGGTTTTGGCACTAGCAGGATTGATAAAAGGAAGTAATATATTTGGATTTTCAGAAGTTTTTTGATAAAGAACGATGGTTAGCAAAATTAAAGCACATGGGTAATATAGTGGCATGGATTAAGGATTAGCTAATGGACTAATGTTGAGGCTTAGCAAAAGGTTAAGGAATATAAAATACAAAAGTTCTACAGTAAAGGTGAACTTATTTGGTATTGAGTATTAACCTATTTGAGATTGACTTGTGCTGCTGGATAACCCATTGTCTGTGGGTAAGCTTGTGGTAAAAGTCGGAACAGAACAGAAATATGCCTTGACAATAAATACAACTTGCAGAGCCTCTTCATCTCTGACTCTTCACTGTAAAAATTATCTTAACCTTCAGCCTCTTCCTCGACAATCACTTGAGATGGATAACACTGCTATTTTATATCATAACAATGACGTCTCCACGGGTTATGTGAGATTCTGGTTAGTGAAGCACTCCAGTTGGTCGGGTGCCAGACACCAACTCATTTTGCTGCACTTGCTTTAGATTTGGTGATGACAAGACATTAAGGACATCATAGAGAGTTGGAATTCCATGTAAAATAGCAGAAGCAAGTCACTTTGTCAGCACTTTTCTTTACTCAGGCATAGGATATGGGTGTTGCTAGCTCAGCCAGCAATTACTGGCCATCCTTAATTACCCTGGAGAAGATGATGGTGAGCTGCTATCTTGAACTGCTGTAGCAAACTATGGTTAGATACACCCGCTGTGCTGTTAAAGTGGGAATTCCATGATTTTGACCCAGTGGCAGTGAAGGAACGACAATACTGTTCCAAGTCAGGATGGTGAGTGGCTTGGAGAGGAACTTGAAGGTTGTATCTGCTGCCTTTGTTCTTCCAGGTGCAGATCATGGGTTTGGAAAGTGCGTTGGAGGAGTCTTGATGAGATAGATGCATCTTGTAGATGGTACACACATGAACGATTTATTTATTGTCATTTGCATTTTACAGTGAATAATACAACAAGATACCGTGAAAAGCTTCAACAGTAGCCACAGTCTGGCACCATTTGAATAGTTTAAGAATAAAAAGTTAAAAGACATAGCTGAAAGAGAGTCCTGAGCTGGTTCACCAACGACACCTGCACTGGACCCACCAACACAGCAGTCGCCATCCTTTAGATAGCATCTCTTTACCGCTGGGCCCACCTCACCAGTGCCAATGCTGACTCATATGCTGAACACACGCTCGCCCTGCAACCTGACGTCCCTGGCTCTGCCGCAGCCTCGCCAATGCCAGGAGTCGCTGCTCTAGGCCTACTGCAATGGCGGGGGTCCCTGGCCCCGCTGACAGTTGAGGCTGCCATCTCACCGGGAGTCCCACTCCAGGCGCTCTCCTCCGTGATGTTGCCTTGCCGGGGCCACCATCTTGAAAAGTCTGCTGCCACTGCCTCCAGTCGCCATGAGAAGCCGCATCCGCCACCACCTCAGACCACCAGGAGGCGCCGCCATTCCACGCATGGCCCGCTCTAGCTGCCATGCCGATTTCACCGACTAACTCACTGCAAGAGACTTCAAAGGAAAGAATAATGAAAGGGAAAAAAATGAAAGAATAACTAAGTAAAAAGAAAGATAAAGAAACAAAGCATGCGGGAGCGGATGAGCCCTGGACAAGGGCCTGCACACAGCTCTGTTACTCTGCCACCATCTTGATTTCCACACTGCTGTCTGTGTGTGAGAGTATGTGGTGAAGAGAATGAATTGCTTAAGGTGGTGGATTATATCCCAATCAAGAAGGCTGCTTTCTCCTGGACAATGTCAAGCGTCTTGAATATCATTGGTGCTGTGTTGATCTAGGCAAGTGTAGAATATTATATCACACTCTTGGCTTGTGCCTTGTTGATAGTGGACAGATACAGCAGTCAAGAGTTGAATTATCACTGCAGGATTCTCATCTTCTGACTTACTTTGTTGTCAAGGTCAATGGTAACCTCCAGGATGTTGGTAGTGGGGGATTCAGTGATGATAGCGCCATTGAACATCGAAGGCCAATGGTTGGAATCTTTCTTGCTTGAGATGATCATCGCTTGGCACTTGTAGTACAATTTTCCAGTGCCATTGTCAATCTAAGTCTCAATGTTGTTCAGGTTTTCCTATATATAAACATGAGCTGCTTCAAGGCTCATCATGAATAGTGCTGAACATTGTGTAGTCATCAGCAAACAGCCCTGCGTCTGAGCTAATGTGGAAAGGTCATTGATAAAGGAACTGACAATGGTTAGGCCTAGGACACTACCCTGAGGAACTTCCTGCAGAGTAGCACTGCAGCTGAAATGATTGACCTTCCAGCAACCATTCCCATCTTCCTTTGTGCCTTGTATGACTCCAACCAGTGGAAAGATTTCTCCCTGATTCTCATTGATACCAGTTTTGCTACAGCTCTTTGATACCTAAGCAAAGCATGCAACAGCAATGAAACACTTCAAAAAAGGCATAACTGATATACCAAATTGCAAATTTGCAAGTTGAACCTCAAAATACTGGCCTAGCAAGTCATTCAGTTCAACAGCATTTGTGGATGGACAAATACTGTTTCAACCAGCAAAGCCCATATCTCATGAACAAGGTAAAAAAAAATACACAGTCAATTACTCAGCTCTACCTGGTCTCTTGCAGTTGTTGATATGTAGCTCCAGCTTACTTTCTTGTGATCTCAGTCAATAAGGGATTTGGTGATGGTGGTGCCTTAGAAGATCATTGGCAGAGTTTTTGCTTGTTCAAGCTTGTTCAAAAGCTCGTACTTACTTGGATTGAATATCGTTTCTTAGCCAAAGCCAGGTTGTCATTCAGGTTCTCCTGTAGTTTGGGATGGGTTGTTTCACTACTACAGCAGCTGTGAATAGTCTGAACATTTTGTATTTGTCAGCATGCAGTCCCCATCATAATTATGATAGGGCAAAGACCATTAAAGGAGTAACTGAAGATGGGTGGGCCAAAATGCTTTCTTTGGGACTCTCACAATGATGTCTCGATGTGGTGTTAGCTAACCACAAAAAAAAAATCACAGCCATCTTCCTTTGTGTCAGGGATGACAAAATAGACATATGACTGCTCTCAACACTCAGGCACCCAGTTATTATGTCTATATCTAGATAAAGGCTATGAGGAGGTCTGGAATCAAACAGTTCTACTATGATGGAATTTGGTCATTGGTGAACAGGTTACTCATGAGTTGGTGTTGCTTGAATATGTTTTGGTGTCTTATTCCATTGGTTTATTAATTGTGTTTATCTCTGGCACTGAAGGTAGATGGAGGTAATGCTTTCACTCCTACCTGTTACTCTGTTTGCCTGTAAACATTATGTTGCAAAAACAGATGGCTGGGTCTCCCAACAAAACTTGGTATACAGGATGCAGCCCAAAGAAGATACAGATCCAATTCCTAGATTCTTCTGTGGGATCTGTCAACATGGGGAGGTAGAGTGCATTGCCACTTTTAAAAAGAATATTGTTGATTGTTTTAGAAAGTCTGGATAGCTTCAGCTGTCGTAGTGGAATTTGTTAAAACGTGAGCAGATTATTCTGAGCAGGTTGTTCAATGCACATTGGTCTAATTGTATGGAACAAAGCCATAGAGTTGTTAGAGGTGACAGTGAGGGAGCATTTTAGTAAGAGGAACCACAACACATCACGGTTTAAGTCTGTTCTGGAAAAAGAAAGAGGTGGTCTGCAAAACAGGTTTTGGATTGAGGGAAGGTACACATAAAATAAGGAAAGATCCAGCTAAAGTAGACTGGGAGCAGCTACTTCCAGATTATCCACAAGTCCTCACACATATCTCACATCACATCATCAAAGTTAAAAAGCATCCTTTTTTCAGCAAGGACAATTAAATGTCTATAGCTAATGTCCTTTGGTACCCTGAAAAGGGGCCTCTGAAATGGCTCAGCAATTCTCTCAGGTCAAGGGCAATTAGGGATGGGCAATGAATGCTGATTTTGTCAGCCATGCTCACATCCCATGAAAGAATTAAAAAAACTTACCCTTCCATATCTATTCGCATAGGACCCTGTGAGCAAGGAGTGAAAAACAATGATTGTTTCATCCAAGTCCCATATGAACACTCGCTGTGGAGAGACAGAAAGATCAATGTTGTCCTCTGTACACTGAAAAATGATAACTCAATCAATAACTGTGAAACTACAGGGAATTGTAGTTAAGTGCTACTGTGTCGTGACCCAGCATTCTACATTACTTACTAAAGGACTTTAAAAGTTGTACACCAAGGCCAGCAAAATCTATTGCTAAGTCACTCATCAAATGAAATAATGGTTATAGGTGACAGTTTATTAATGCTTGATGGTTACTAGCTCAGACTGTTTTAACTAATTCAAACATTTAACAGATCATCTGTCAAGAGAATTAACATTAAAATAAAAATACTCAATTAACTGTTACCAAAAAAGAAAGTCACAAAAAGATTTTAAGCTATTTAACACATTCATTTTTCATGCATGTAACCTTCATTATTATGTTAGCGAATGTAGCCTTTATTGCTGCTCGTACATCATTTTCTATGGGGCTTTTTTCTTTGCTTAGTTTTAATGGAATCAATATGTTAGCCTTACCTCAAGGTCAGTGTCTGGGGGAGGTGAAGGGTTATTATTTCTTCTGCCTCTGCCACGTGACTTTCCATCTGAAGCTCGACGCAATCGATCCAATTCTGAATCTTTAATGGATGTTGAAGAACTGTGGATTGTACCAAACTCTCCTGAAATACAGAATCACTTTAAACTTTTAACAGAAGTATGCGAAGGAGTTTGTAAATCATTGCGTACACTGACAATATGCAACCTTAAGGAATCTAAAATTCCAAGAGGAAATTTTGTGGACCGTGTATCTTTTCCACAAGATTGTTGGGATAATACTGCAGGCTCATATTTCATGTAACTGGCTCAGAAGGAGAATATGAACATTTGTAAGGTTAGCATGTTAATGCCCACTACATTTCCATGATATTCCACATTTGACCACTTCAATGGAGGAGTTAACCAGTTTAAAAAGTACATTGCAAGGCCTCTTTGAAAATAGCAATATATTTACTCACAAAATGGTTAAGTATCTGTTTTAAGCATTATTTTTCATATTGTCAACAATAATTTCAAGTCTGTGCTTTGTTTTGCTTAGCTTGTAACTTGAAAAGTATTTACCAACTTCTTAAGGAAAGTTCCATGTACATTCAGAAAGATTTCATTTGCTGTTGATAATACCTCCTGTATCATACTCCTCTATTTGAAAGTCATAACCTAAATGCCAACATTCCATGCCTTCCCAATCACAGGCTGCACCTTCATTCTAACTTCTCCTGATACGTCTACCAGAACACCCAGAAATGTCTGTCCCACCAGCTTCTTTATCTATCTCTATTTAAATAACATATCGCTTTCCTATTCTTCCTGGCAAAGTGAACAAACGTACACTTTCTTAGATTTTAGTCCATCTGTCAATTTTTGCCAACTCACTTAACTTGCCTATATTCCTAATGCAAACTTTCTACCTCCTTTAATAACTTAATTTCCTTCCTATCTTGATGTCACTAGCAAAGTTAGCTTGTGTTCTGAGGAAGGGTTACCGGACCTGAAACGTTAACTCTGTTCTTGCCTTCACAGATGCTGCCAGACCTGCTGAGCTTTTCCAGCAACTTTGTTTTTGTTAGCTCCTGTACATTTAACCACATTGTCCAAATTATTGATATAGCTTGTAAATAGTTGATGTCCCAGCACAGATCCTGTGGCACTTCATCGTTACAGCTTACCAATGCGAAAGAGACCAATTTATCTCTTATGAGTTCTGAGGAAGGGTCACTGAACCTGAAATGTTAACTCTGATTTCTCTCCACAGATGCTGCCAGACCTGCTGAGCTTTTCCAGCAATTGCTATTTTTATCTCTTCTCTGCTTTCAGTTTTTACGACAATCGATGATGGTTTCATTGTCTTCATTAGACCCTTAATTCCAGATTCTTTATTGAATTCAAATTCCACCATCTGCTGTGGGGGATTTGAACCTTAGTGAACCAATCCTTCATCTATGCTGTTATTTTACTCTCTACTCTATGAGGAAATGCAGATTATGCCACATCCATAGGTTCCCCTTTATCCACCTTGCTTGTATATCCTTTAAAAAGAACTCCAATAAATCAATTCTATATGATTTCCCTTTCACAAAGCCATGTTGACTCTTCCTGATCACATTAGGATTTACTAAACATCCTGCTACAATCTCTTTAAATAGTGAATTTTAGCACTTTCTCTATGACAGATGTTAGGTTAATTGACCTATCACGTTCTGCTCTCTGTCTCACTCCACTCTTGAATAAAACTGCTGCAATAGTTAGTTTCCACTGGGACCCTTTCAGGATCAAAGTAATTTTTGACAATATAAACGATGTTTCTACCAATGCTGTAACTACTTTTGAATAATGCCTGAAACTAAACCTGTGAGGGCAGGACGTAAAGAGTTAAATAGCCAAGGTGAAAAATTAATGACTAAATGAGGTACAACGAAAGAACTGGAGGTAGCTGTGGAATAAAAAGTTAATTATACACTATACCTATACTCTAAGAATAGTGGCTGAATGTGCAAGGGAAGTGTCTGATCACGTGGAACTCGAACCTGCAAAGTTTCAGTTGCATATCCTCTTTTACTAAGAACTGCCAACAGCTGTATTTGGTGAAGAGTGAGAATGTTTACTCATAAGGGTACAGACCGCACCTTATGACACTTCCTTCTGTCAATGGGCACTTCGCAGACTTATAGGCTTTTAAATTGGACCCGGCACGTCCCCAACCCATGCCCTACTTGTACCTCCTGTCTGTTCTTCATACAGTAGGTATTGTGACTGTCTCCAGAAAGTATTGACAATCGGTACACACTGACGTCCAATGCAGCTAGAACCTAGAAATGATCCTAAATGTTGGCATGTCACTGAGACAGGGAAAACCTTGTCCTTTAAAATCTCCAAGCTATTCTAATAGTAGGTTTTTAACCACGGTGCTAAACAGGATAAATTTCCTCTGCCTACTGTCATAGTTCACTGGGGTAGTGAGCTGTAAGTCGAGCCCTGCTATTCCCAAAGTTGTCACAAAGTTAAAGACTTGTTAAAAATGCCAATTTCCCCAATTTCCCTGATTTTCAGACCCAGGCGGACAGAAAAAATGGTACTGGACAAAAATGGTATTTATTGTAAATAATTAGACACGAGATACAGATACTAATTAACTCCAAACCCCCTTACAAATTTCCCCTTACACACCCAAAGATGGACAGACGAACAGACAGCTTAAAACTGGTCACATGGACAAAGGGGAAAACTGGGAAGACAGTCTCAGTTCCTAGCTTCTGTTGTTTGAGTTGATCTTTATGACGCTTGTCCTGGCCAGCACATTGCGTTGGTCATCCTACTCTGGATGCTTGTAGTGGTTAGTCAGAGAGACAAGTGGACAGTTCCTTTATAAAAATAAAAGTCTCTGCTTTATCAGTTAAAAGTCACAACTGTTGCAGGAAAGGCATACCGGTTGTCTTCAGATTTACACTGATTTTGACTGCAATTCCCCACCATCTTCTTGAGGGTAATTAGGATTGGCAATAAATGCTGCCCTAAAAAGCAATCCATATAACCCATGAATGAATTTTCAAAACCCACAGAGTTTGGTGTATATGTATTAATCACAAGTTTACACCTAACTTATCAAGACATAATCATACAATTTTACAGGGGGTCCTTGATTTATGAACACTTGTACTTACAAACGGGTGTAATTATAAAGATCTGATATACAAACATTTCCTGTCCTCAAGACCAGCTCCTTTATATTGTCCTGCATTGTGTTCGACTTGTTTATAAATCAACTTGGTGAGCAAGCTGCAGAACAGAACCAGCTTGCAATTGAGGGACTGCCTGTACAAATAAGTGTATGAGGGCTCTTGTGGTGCAGCAGTAGTGTCCCTACCTCTGAGTGAGGAGGCCCAGGTTTAATTTCCAACTGCTCCAGAGGTGTATAATAACATCACTGCACAAGTTGATTAGAAAATACCAACAAACAAAGTATGAAACAAAAAATTGCTGGAGAAGCTAGCAGGTCTGGCAACAGCTGTGGAGAGAAAGCCAGAGTTGAGGTTTCGGGTCCAGTGACCCTTCTTCAGATCAAAGAACTTCATAACTGAAGAACGGTCACTCAACTGGAAACATTAATACTGGCTTCTCTCCACAGATGCTGCCAGACCTCCAGCAACTTCTGCCATCGTTTCAGATTTCTAGCATCTAGAGTTGTATAGAGTCATAGAGATGTACAGCATGGAAACAGACCCTTCAACCTAACTCCAATGCTGACCAGGTGTCCTAAATTAACCCGATCCCATTTGCCAGCTTTTGGCCCACAGCCCTCTGAAACTTTCCTGTTTATATACACATCCAGATGCCCTTTAAATGTTATACAGAGTCACAGAGATATACAGCACAGAGACAGACCCTTCAATCTAACTTGCTCTTTGTTTCATTTCAAAATATGAAACAACTCGATTATTGCAGAGGAGCCAAGATGCAACTTTTTGTTCTCAAAATCACCTGACTGCTACTGCTCCAAAAATTGCATGGTCCAGTCTCTGACAGTTAAAATTTTCCACGCCTATTATTTTGAATTGTTTACAAAGTTTGGCAAATTTTACAAGGCTTTTTGTATTTCCTTGCAAAGTTTAATGGTTATTAAATCTATATATGTATGATTTTGTGCTATATTTCCACACAATATTTGGTTTTCTCTTGCAAATTTCTGCAAGTTTAATGGGACAAAGTTGCTGCACGCAATTTGTCCCAAATTAATCGTGTCTCATTCAACTCCAGTTTCTATCAAGAGTTAAGCCTATGTTGATAGGTCTTACAGCTGGAGGAGATGGGGGAGGTGGGGTTTGCAGTTTCTTGTCCACGTAAAACCATTTAAAGCACATGACTAAACACAAATTCCTTTGGTCAACAATGAAATGACATACATAAGCTATGAGGAGGATGCAAGAGGCTGCAGAGAGATATGGAAATGTTAAATGAGTGGGCAAGAACAGGAGTTTGCAATATAATGCAAGTACATTTGAATTTATCAACTGCGGTAGGAGAAATAGCAAAACAGAATGTTTTTAAATGGTGAGGAAAGGGACCTGTTGGTTCAAAGGGTGTTCTTGTATTGTAATTACAGGAAGTTAACACAGAGGTACAGCAAACAACTGCGAAAGTAAAGGATATCTGAGCCTTTATTATAAAAGAATTGGAGCACAAGAGTAATCTCAGTGCAATTATACAGGGTTTTTGAGGGACCACACCTGGTGTTTTGTGTACAGTTTTGTTCTCCTTACATAAAGGAGTGTATATTTGCCTTAGAGGGCGTGTAATGCAGACACACTTGACTGATTCCTGGGATGAAGGGATTGGGCAAGAGGGAGAAATTGTGCATACTAGAATGTTATGTCCTGGAGTTTAGAAGATGCAAGATGTCCCCATTCAAATGTGTAAGATCTTTAAAAGCCTTTACAAGGGTAGATGCTGGTTTGCTGTAATTGTGGAACCTAGGACTGGGAATCAGATCTCAAAATAAGAGGTTGGCCAGTTTAGACCGGTTAGTGGAGACATTTCATCACTCAAGACGTTGTAGAGCTTTAGAATTCTCTATCCCAGACAGACATGGATGCTCAGGAATTGACTATAAACCAAAACACAGATTGTT